GGTTGTTAGTTTATATGCTGTTGAGATGTATTTGTTCTTTATATATTTTAGATATTAACTGCTTATCAGATATATGGTTTCCAAATATCTTCTCCCACTTGTTAGGTTGTCTTTTTGTTTTGTTGATGGTTTCCTTTGTTGTGCAGAAGATTTTTAGTTTGATGTAGTCCCATTTGTTTATTTTTTTCTTTGTTTCCCTTGTCTGGTGAGACGTGGTATTCAAAAGGATGCTGTTAAGACCGATGTTGAAGAGTGTACTGCCTATGTTTTCTTCTAGAAGTTTCATGGTTTCGGGTCTTACGTTCAAGTCTTTAAGCTATTTTAAGTTAATTTTTGTGTATGGTGTAAGATAATGGTCTACTTTCATTCTTTTGCATGTGGCTGTCCAGTTTTACCAACACCATTTATTGAAGAGACTTTCCTCTCTCCATTGTATGTTCTTGGCTCCTTTGTCAAAATTAGCTGTCCATAGACATGTGGGTTTATTTCTGGGCTCTTGATTCTGTTCCATTGATCTGTATGTCTGTTTTTTTGCTGGTACCATGCTGTTCTGATTATTATAGCTTTGTAGTATATTTTGAAATCAGGGAGTATGATACCTCCAGCTTTGCTCTTTTTTGTCAGAATTCCTTCAGCTAGTCAGGGTTGTTTTTTTTGTTCCATATAAATTTTAGGATTCTTTGTTCTATTTCTGTGAAAAATATCATTGGGATTTTGATAGGGATTGCATTGAATCCATAGATTGCTTTAGAAAGTCTGGACATTTTAACTATGTTAATTCTTTCAACCCATGAGCATGGACTATCATTCCATTTCTTTGTGGGATGCAACTTTTGATTACTCATGAGTGGAGTATACCGCTTTATGCTCTTAGCAATGTATGATAGTTCTTATTTCTTTGTATCACTGATAGCATTGTGTACTATTTTTTATATCTTTACTAATTTTATATTTAAGGAATCGCAGAACATTGTTTTGATCTGTACTTTTTTGGTTGTTGAGATGGAGCATTTTTCATATATTTATTGATCATTTGTTTTTCTTCTTTACCAAATTGTCAATTCATATCTTCTTGTTATTTTCTCTCGGGATTCAATTTTTATGTTAATAACTTGTGAAAGCTTTTAGCAAAGACATTGTTCCTATGGATATCATTTATATTGAAAAATTTTCCCCAGTTGTCATTTTCCTTTTCATTAAAGACTTTTTATTATTGTTTCTTGACCTACATGTTTAAGATTTTTCATACTTTAATCAATTATTCTGTTATTTCTTGGTTGGTGCCATTGATATTTTGAGAGAAAGCTCTTCTCCAACCAGATATTATTTAAATATTTACTTATTTTTCATTACCTATTTTACCAATGATTTCCTTGAAAAATTTAACCCATCTTGGGTTTATTTTGGTGTATGGGTGACATAGGGTCTAATTTTTTTTCCTAAGTAGCTGAACATTATTCCAGCATTCTATGGTTCTGTTATACATGTTTGCTTTTGCTGGCAATTTAGGTCATCCAATAACATGATAGAAAATAACATATTCAAATGACTTAAATTATCTGCTTCTAAAGAGTATTAAAATATTTGTTGATGATTTGAAGAAGGTATATTGTCCAGTCTTTGAGGGGAAAATATAAGGCCACTTAAACTCTATTCCTCTCTGATGTAATTGCTATTTGTACCTTCTCATAGTAAGGGGATTAGCCTTCCAGATGCCATTGTGAGAAACTTCCAGTAAGTGCACTTGTGCCCTGAGCGTTCTAATGCTTTCCAACATGACCCCCTTGCCCATCAGTTCACTTTTAGTACAAAGATACTAGAGATACAAGATGAGAGTATGCACATGTCTTTAAGATCTTAAGTTACTCCTACAAGTTATTTCTCTATTGAAAGCAAGGTTTGTAAGCAAGAATACTGGAAGCCATTTCTCCTAACTTGTTTCAAGCATATTATATTTCTATTAAAATCTTTTTTATTATTTTAAGCATTTAAAAAAATCTTTTTATTTTAAGCATTTTTCCCTTAGCTTTATAAATGTGTCCATATAAGTCTAGGAACATAAAATTAACTATCTTCTTGCAATGGGTCAAGTACCCATATCTATGGTTCCATTTTGTTAAAGTAGAGTAGTCCTGGAATAAATGCAATTATTTATTCATTTATATCTATGCCTGTCTGTCTGTCTGTCTATCTATGTGTCTCTTTGTCTATCCAGTGAGATTGAAAATAGCCAAATCTAAGAAGTATAATAAGGAAATCCTAGTACAGTGTCTCTCAGGGAACAGTGAGTCAATAAGCATTTGGTATTTATAGATAATCATTAATCATAAAGATAATGCTCATAAAATAAAGATTTCCTTATGTTTTTATGGTCTCAGATACAAAGAATGTTGATGACTTCTAGAGTGATTTTGGCCCACTTTATAATCTGACGATATCTTCCTCTATCAAATTTTTTCTTCTATACTCTTTTAACTCTCATTTGTAACCCTTTGTTAGTATACCCACTAATAAATGAAATGATCAGTAAGGTTTGGATTCTCTTCCTTTGTTTTATCTTTTTATATCTCTTCTACAATGTGACCTTATAACAACTCAAAATAATATTTGGAAAGGAGAAAAACAACAAAAATATAATTCATAAACTATACTAGAAATATAGTTCCTATATTTCTAGGGACATCTCTAGGGACTTGCCATAAAGAATCAGGTAGAAAAGCAAAAATAAATATTAAATTAGGAAGGAAGATCAAGAGAGACCTGGAGACCGTTGTAGCCCAATTTCTTACAGTTTAGAGCCAGGATCTTATCCTGGGGTCCAGCATTGACTTTGTGATGGGGAAGGAAGGAAGGGAGTGAGTTCCTAAGTACACTAAAACTCAATGCAAAATTTTGGCTATATCTAATTATTTACACTTTGGGGGGAGGTAGAGAGAAGTTTCATAGCTTTAATCACATATTCATAGCAATCTGTGACCACAAAAGGGTGAAGAACTACTGGTATAGAGAAAACAGAGTTATAATAAATAGCAATTTTCTCTTTTGAGCCACGTAAGGACATTAAATTGAAAGAAGCTATTTCTCTTCTTTCCTTCCGTTTGCCCTAATTCTCTCTTTGGTGAATTTAATGTTTTTAGAGTTACTTTGCTAAAACTTGCAGGAATGAGTAGTTCAGAAAATATCTTGAGCTACCTGGACCCACAAACCAACAAAAGGGTGCCACGAATGTTCAGCGTGGTATTTCTGAAGTGGCGGGTAAACAAGACAGAAAACAGCAGGGAGCAGAAGCTCCCTTCTACTCTGGAGCCTATGCTGGGTCCCATCTGCTGGCATTGTCGTTCTGGATGATTAGAAGCCCGATAGGTTTGGCATAAAGAAGTTCTGCTTCCAAACATCGTGGAAAAACTAAAGAATCCCTGAAGGATGTTCAAAGCCTCTACCTAAGTTGGCAAGGGATGAGGACACACAGCAGGAAAGTGAGTCAAAGAAATATATGAGTTGCATTCTCAGATGATCAGATGCCTTGTCCACATGTCTTCTCTCAACAGCCGCTTTTATCGGTTACTTCAGAGAAATGTGGAAAGCTCCCATAATGCACCTCGTGAGTTCTGCCAAACATGTGAAATTCTGGCAGAAGCAGTAAGGGGAAATATGTTCCCCAGTTGGCACTCAGCTTAGGGATAAAGTTTGATGACCATCATATATCTTCTGTCACTTTTTTGCCCTTTCCGTCATAAGATTACAGACTTATATTTAAATCCTGGAATCCATTTTAACCTTCTTAAAAATGTAGGAGTCATTATGTCAAGTATTTTTCAGGTCCTTGCTGTGAACTTTATTTTTACGTTGCTCAATTTCTTTTCAGAAAATATTTTCAGACATTGTAGGTCCTGAGCATCTTTTGCAGATACATTTCTCAAATTAAACTCATATCCGTCTTTCTTTGGCTCTCACCATGACCTTTGATAACTTTAGAATTAAAATCCTATCACTGTGACGCATGTGAAATAAGATGACCAGAGGACAGGTGTAACTGTTTCAGGCTTTCTCAATATCTGGCAAATATATAGTAATATACACAGTCAGATGACTTTGGTAAAGAAAGTATTTCATATTTATAGAATGCTTATGGGGGCACAGCTAGAGTGTTATTTGGGTCCATTACATTTTAATAAAGAGGACTCACTTAAATTCTGGGCCCCAAATCAAAAATTTCAAGAGAGAGCTCTAGTATGGTTTTTAAGTATAAAATGAACACAGCCTTTACACAAAGGCTCTCTCAGAGCAATGAAGAATTTGCTTTTTTCTGTCTTTTTAACTATGATTATAGTTATTTAGAGGTTTTGACTAACTGTGTGATAATTAAACAAGACTAGAACATTGCAGTGGGTGTGGGCTAATGTGATTTCTCAGAGAGGAGAAAGTAAGTAAATTACAAGACTAAACACTAGACACCAGATTTGTAGAATTCTGGATGTAGATGTGGCTTCAGCAAGAACTGACTTCATATTAAATGCATATCTGACTAAAAGATTATATGATGTTTCTATATGATTCTAAACCCAAATGACTGTTTCATCATTTTTATAAACCATTCGCTGGTGACCTTTCTTCCAATTTTGAAATACAGATTCTCCATGTAAGCTAACATGTTATAATAAAGTTAAAAAAAAGAACCCATTGGCTCTGCTAACGTGGGGGAGAAAGAGGGAAGCAATCACCAGAAGCATCATCTTCCTATATAACGTGTATCATTTTTATCACAGAGAGCACAAATGGCAGCAATGTTAGGCCAGTATAATAATATTAAATCCAGTTGTCATCTTAGCTCTATATTTGTCTTCAAGAGTAAGCAAATGAATTTCACAATATTTCATCTCAAGCTGCTCTTAGGTTGTTACATTTGAGGAAAAATAATATTGCAAATAAGACATTTAAGATTTTTGAATGTAAATGTGGTAGGAACAATGTTTCTTAAAAATAGGTTACATAGACAAGAAGAAAGGGATAAAATTATTTTATTGGTTCAACTAAAATGAATAAAATGGAAAGAGATACAAATCTCTAAGAAATTATTCAGTACACCTTAACTGCAATTATAGAGAATTCCACAAAATAAACTTGAAGTAAGAACAAATTTTGTAAGCTTATAGATTACTATTTGAGTTAAGCATTAAGAGCGAGAATTAAAGTTTTTTAGTTCTAAAGATTAAATTTGCAGGTATGCTGTCTGCTAGTATTGAAATAAATTTGTTTCTTAAAAATTGTTTTACTGGATTATGTCAGAAGCAAGGCTTTGTTCCTCGAGGGAGGGTAAGTTCCCTCCTGGGCCCATCAGAATGAAGCTCTCACGGTTCTGCCCTTCAGAGGCTGGGGTGGTCGGTTGTTGTGCTGAATGGGGACGGCCTTACCACCCTCAACATTCGATAGAAGACTGCGGAACTGCGCCAGCTGAGATGAAGGATGGAATATTCAAAGAATCAAAAGTTATTAAAGTTACACAAAGCACTTTATTTCCAGTATAATTAATGCACTGATATTTAGAAAACCAACTTGAGGATTGCAATGATTTCACCAATGGGAAGGGAGAAAGCCAAAAATTCCTCCATGTTTCTTTCAACTAGGCACTGGGCTTAAATTGTCAATGATTGACTGGAATAGAACACCAACGTTCTCACTTGCCAACTGGGGGAGTTTGGATGAGTGACTTATCTGCTTCATGTCTATTTCCATATAGTACCTACTTCATTATGCTGTTGTGAAGATTAAAGCGATTGATACCCGCAAAGCGTTTAGAATGGTGCCTGGTGTATAGCGTGTGCTCAGAGGTGTTATCAGCAGGCTGCATGGCTTGCGCTATAGCTTTGTTATGAGAACTGGCTGACAAAACATATGCAAGGCACCTAGTAAAAGTTGCTTAATCAATGGTAGTTACTATTATCATTATTGTAAACAGTAATTAATGAGATATTTTGTTTGATCTTTAAGAGCTTAAGCTTCAAAAAAGAACAAAAAACTTTTGTCAACTATCAAAGTATGCCAGTCAAGAGCCGCAATTTCTCAAAGTCTTAGCAGAACTTTCAGTGACAGTTTCTTCTTTGTTTCTGAAACTCTTAGGAAGACGTATAACAAGGTTGGATTCTTCCTTTTTTAGGTGAAAAGAATAGTGGGAGTTCTGAATCTCATATATTCTTTTCTACATAAAGTCGAAAAATAGTATTATCATACACTTTTCTTTTTGGTTATTTAACAGACCTATGCCAGAAATGAATTTTTTTCAGTTGGAAGAGAAAATGAACTCCTCAAATTCTAACTGAAATAGTAATCGCCCCCATTAATATAATGAATTGAAATGATATTCCTGCTTTGCAGCCCCAATTCCCACTCATTCACCTCTGATACTCTACCTGTTCTGAGCTGACACTGATGCTCTCCTTATAGACGAGCCAGGTGACACTCTCAAAGAGAGGAGGATGAGTCAGAGAGCCAGGGTAGGTCCAGTAATCCGAGGATGAAGGAAGGAAAATAGAGGGGTCAAAATTTGTGAATGGGGCCTTTTTACCCTGAAAGAAAAAGAAAAGTAATATATTTTATGCCATGATACGAAATACTTATATCATATACATGTATGACATATATGTTATATTATCTTGGTGTGTGTGTACTTACATAATTTTTTTGGTATATATATTATCTTAAGATTTTAGCTGAGAATTTATTCAATTTTTCTACTATATAGTATTTCATAACTGGTGTGTTTGTGGATATAAACAATAAAAGTAGTAGAAGAATGAAAATGTGCTACACTGAAATTTTGACCAAGCAAGCTTCCTCCTTTTTCATTTGGTTGAAGATAAGTAAAGCTTCAAAAATCTTCTTTAAAAGATATTTAATTTCCAATATAATGCATTTATCATTTCTCTAAAAATGATGCCATAGATTGTTCCAGTGGCAAAGATATTTATTGACATGTCTATTAATTATGTTTTAACCTTATTCTATTTATTTCTATTTGCTTTTCTGATTGGTTATTGTTAGTGTATAGGAAACAAACTGATATTTACATGCTAAAATTTTATATAGGTCCAATTTACTAGACTTGTATATTGATTCTGTTTTTTAGCTGATTTTTTTTTTATTTTCCAGGTAGATGTCAATGATTATATCATCTGCATTTGATGATAGTGTTGTCTTTGTTTTTCTAATATTTATCTTAATATGTACTCATTTCTTTCCTTATTTTATTGCATTGAATAGGACATTCATTGCAATGTTCAATTGTGGTGGTCACAGTTATTCCCTGTCTTGTTGTTGATTGAAACGGAAATGCTTCAAATATTTCACTACTAAGTTTAATGTTTGATCCAAGTTTCTAGGTGATATTCTTTATCAAGTTCAATAAGTTTTCAGAGAACTTTCTTCCTTCCTTTCCTTTTTTTTTAACCTCAAGAATGGGCATTTAATTTTATCAAATGCCTTTTAAACATCTAACAAGTTGATGACATGGTTTTTCATCTTTAATTTGTGAATGAAATGAATTATATTAGGAGGTAGTCTAATATCAAACCATCCTTGCATTCCTGGGGTAAACTCTACTAGTTTGGAAGCATTACTCTTTTAATATACTGTTGAGAGTGATTTTCTATAATTAATTTTAAGAGTTCTCTTAGCTATATGCCTAAGAAATATTGGCCTATGATTCCCTTCTTGTGATAGTCTTACCCAGTTTTGATATTAGGTTTTATTAAATTAAATTGATGGGAAGTTTTCTGTCTGTTCCCTCATCTGGGCAGTTCAGTTAACATGGGCTTGATTATTTCTTAAAAGTCTTGTCACTTTACCTCAAAATGGTCTGGGCCTAACATTTTCTTTTAATAGATACATTTTTTTACTATCTTTTCAATTTCTTTTTAGGTTCTCAGTCTATTTTCAACCCCTTTTGAGTCAATTTTCCTCCACATTTTCCTAGAAAATCATCCGTTTTAGCTAAATATTCAAATTTACTGGTATAATGTTATATGAACTTTTCTTTTAACACCTTTACCATATCTTTAATTATGACTCATTTCTTATTTCTAATAATTTTTCTGTATGTGTATCGTTTTCTTTCTTCCATCATCAAACTTGCCAAAAATCTGCTTTTTTTGTTGGTTCTTCCAAAAAATCAACTTTTCATTTTATTGATAAAATTTTACCTTGTATTATTTTTCTTTTTTCTTTTATTAATTTTTGCTTTATTTTCATTAATTATTTCCTTCTATTTTCTTTTCATATGTTATTTTTTATATTCAACTTGAGTTGAGTTTTATACTCAACTTGAGTTGAGTGCTTATTTTTTTATCTTCAGACTTTCTCACTTTATAATACACCAATTTGAAGTTTAATTTTCTCTAGAATTGGCATGAACTAGATTTATTTTTTATAAAAATATCGCAGTTCTCTGTACTGTGAAAGAAAATGACAAATCTCTGACATATGATTTAACTATTTACTATTAAAACAGTAAAGCTAAGGTTAGATCTATCAGAAAATCCATCTTTTTTTAGCTGATAAATGGGAATCATGGTTATCAAGTATTGCATGTTAATGGCATCTCAAAAGAATACTCTTAACTCCTGCATTTTGGAATTCAAAAGAAGTAAAGATATCTTTCTTCATGAACCAAACAAAAAATTACATTTTAGTTGGATATAGTTTTTTTTTTCTTTTGTGATGAAGATCAGCCCTGAGCTAACATCCATGCTAATCCTCCTCTTTTTGCTGAGGGAGACCGGCTCTGAGCTAACATCTATTGCCAATCCTCCTCCCTTTTTTTCACCAAAGCCCCAGTAGATAGTTGCATGTCATAGCTGCACATCCTTCTAGTTGCTGTATGTGGGACACGGCCTCAGCATGGCCGGAGAAGCGGTGTGTCGGTGCGTGCCCAGGATCCGAACCCAGGCCGCCAGTAATGGAGCATGGGCACTTAACCGCTAAGCCACGGGGCTGGCCCGGATGTAGTTTTTAAAGCAAATTTGAATGGCTATGTAACCTGTTTTTCTATAGGCTTCATCCTGCTCAAATAAACAATAAATATGAAAAACAAAAAAACAAAACAAAACAAATCCCCGAGTCAGAGACCTTCCCAGAAGCAAGCAATAGCTAAGTAGTATCTTGAGTGGTACCTTTTGCTCCAGCCTTCCCACTCCCCACTTCAAATATGTAATTAAATGATTTCTGAAGTTCTGTGGATTCTTCTTCTCTGGTTTAAACTAACATTTAGTCTATTTACCTTAGTTTTAACTGCATTTAGGGCATCAAGTACTTTCTGCAGTTTTGGGTTTGCCTGACCAACCTGGAGATTAAAAGAAATAAAGTGTGAGATAAAAATTGTTATCAAATCAAACTCTGTTTAGCTAAAAAATTTTTCAATTAAAAACAGCAACTGAAGAGAGGTAAAGTACTTTATCTGTGCTTTAGGAGAGCAAATTTTGCTGGTATATGTCTTTGTGGGCCTTTGTACTCTGTAAATCATTCCTAACGTGTAACCACAGATACAGTTGGCAAATGTTCAAGACATACAATTCAAACTCCAGGAATTGAGCAAAACTGTGATACAGCAATAAACTTCTTCCTTTTGGTCTGCTCTATTAGTTACAATCAGTACAGTGTATGGCATGCGTATTATAGAGGCTCAATAAAAGTTCACTAGAATTACTATAATTCTGAATGCTAGTCACCCAAGTATACTCAGTTTAATAGCAATTTCCCTACACAACTCTTCAGGGACTCTCCAATAGAGGACGTAAGCAGCATTTGCCATGTCAAAGATCAACTGAATTTTCTTTATGGAACAACACCCTCTTAATATTTCTTTCCTGATGAAACATTAAATTGATAAATTCCTGTACCTATGAGGTAGGAAGTTTAGAGGAAAGGGAATTTGAAAGCACTGGAAAATAGAAATTCCTCCCCACCTCCAATGCCTTCCCATTCCATTCCTACCTAAAACTTTCTTCTCTCTTCAAGGGGGAAAAGCCTAGGGAAAACAAAGCAACAAAGTACTAGGGAGTTGTTTGTCTACCTGTAGTCATTAGTAGAGTGGGAACTTTCCAAAAAGAAAGACTCAAACATCTCTTTGCCTTATTTCATCCTATTTTGAGCTCTAATTGGTAAGAGATAGTGTTAGCTGAGCTCTGTAACTCACCTTCATCAAAACACCAATAATTGCCAAACCATCAGCCTGTGAGATGGCTTCAGCACGGCTGGAGTACTTTGCAGAATTCCAGTGGACCAGGTGAAGCTAAAAGTGATAACGTGGTTAATTAGTTATTTATACCAGTGTGAAGACAAAAAGTAGGTAGGTATGAGTAGTAGGTATGAGTTACCTTGTTAATATAGGAAGATGTGTCTTGGCTTAGATAGATAAAACTTATTGAATCTTTATCCAGTGGATAGGAAGGGCTACGTTCTCACTCTTAAGAGGGGTTGCAAATCCTGGCACCAGTACGTAAAATTTCTTTTCCCACAATATTGTAACTTTACAATACTACCGTAACTGTATTACAATACAATTGAATACAGTGTTACTCCTCTTTTTAAAACATCTCTCTTTGGTATGAAAAGATCAGGAAATCTGACTAACTAGTTTTAGGAAAAACAATTTTCTCTCTCATGAAGTATGTCTCAGTAACTTTATGAGAAGGGGTTCCTGGAGTATCTGGGAGTCTTAGCCAAGGACGGATTCTCTTGAGCACATCCAGGCACCTCTCAGAACAACATCTCCAGCCTAACTCCCTCTGAATCTCAGATATATCTAAGTACGTACCCATGTCTTCTTGATTTCCTTTTGATGTCTCTAGGCGGATGTCTAATAGGTATCTCAAACTTAACGTGGCCAAAATAGAACTCTTGATTTCCTCCTTGCCAAACCTGTCTCAAAAGTACCACCATCCACCTAATTGCTCAATTAAAAAGTACAACAGTTATCATTCATTCTTACTTCTCCCCACTATCAACATCCAGTTCTTCAGCACATCGCATAGATTATACCTCTTCACTCGGTTCACAACTTTGAACATTTTCATTAGCTGCTGATTTTATCTGGAGTGTCCCTCCCCACAACCTTTCAGTGGCAGGCTTTTGTCTTGAATTAGAGTTGAACTAAAAAGCCACTCCTCCAAGAATCCTTTTCTGACCACCCAGTGTCAAGTGCACATCTGCACTTCCTCATGGCACTCGAAATCAAATCACTTCCCTCCACACCTCTTATCTAATCTCTCTCTCCCTGTGTCTTCCACCGCTCTCTTCCATTCTCCTACTCCCATCACATGTTGAACTTTATGGCTAAGTGTCTCTCATCTCTAGCCTGGGTCATTTTTATTTTTCTCAAATTAGATAAGAAGAGTGCTGATTTAGATTTCTTAGATGCCACTAAATATCCTTCCAAAAAGAGAATATGAATTTAGGTTCCCAACTCATTTGATTTTAGTCAACTTCAATTTTGTGAGGGAGAAATGGAAAAAATACTTAATGGATTTCTGCAGCATTGAAAATTGTTAACCAAGCTTTACAATGTAGCATAAAGCAAGTTACATTTGTGTATATTTCCCAATCCTCTATCAAAATTAAAAATGCACATGTCCTGTAAGCTAGCAGTCACTCTTGCAAAAATCTGCCTTACATAATTGTTTTCACTAGTGCCTAAGATGTATGGACAGACATATTTGTTGCAACATTGTTTGGTAAAAGCAAAAAAAAAAAAAAAACAATGGAACAGAAAGCAGAAGGCACTGTAATTGTCCACCAGTAGAGGCCAGGTTAATAAATTCTGATATATTCACACAACTGAAATGCTATACAGACATTAAAAGAATGAAGTGAAATTAAACCTACTGATTTGGAAAAATGATCATGATAAATTGGTAAGTGGGAAAAAAAAAGCAAGTTGCAAAACTAAGTGTATTACAAATTCATTTTATAAAAGTAAGATGGATAAATCAACTTGTCTATATGGGTACATATGTATTATATATTCACACACGTAAAGAGCAAAAATTTTTCCCTTTGAATCTCCCAGTCCCTCTGTTGACAGTTTGATACAAATATTCCCAATTTTTCTATGGATATACAGACAAAATGTCTTGTAATGGATCACAAACTTCCACGTGAGGGCAAGTCAAGAGGCTGAAGGTTGGTGGCTGCAGCCAAGGATCCTCAGATCTCATCTAGGTATATGTTACTCTCTTGGACCATTCCTATGATTAAATTTGCACTCTCAGTAGAGTCTTATTGAAGTGTTCCAGCCTGGCCACACCTACACCACTGGTGTGTCCAAACTTGAACATTTGAACAAGAAGGGAGTGCTGGTGTGTTCCATGTGGGGTCAGAGCTTTGAACGAGAGCAGCACCTCCCTTGGAGGCTAGCCTGATGTCAAGGTAATAGTTTTTGAGGCATCCTGAAGGGAAAGACGATTCTTGGGCTGAGGAGTTCAGCTCCAAGGTCAGCTGCCTCTTTCATTTGAACAAATACCCTCTATTGCCAAACACAGAGTGTCTGTGTTTGATTTTAAGGGAGCCTTGGAGTTCCTTACAGGGACCAGAACGTTCATTCCTTTGGAGCCATTATAATGGTGTCTTATGTACTAAGGAAGTTGTTTCTGGGAGTCCTCTCTGTAATTCTCTCTCACTTCCTGGGTTACATTACCTCTGCAGAATATTTGACTCCATCCACTGTGTGCTCAGAACCATAGTCATCCGTGCTGCCCCAGTGGAAATGGAACTGGCAGAGCCTGTAGCTGTCAGAGAGAGGACCGCCTTTCAGCACTAGAAGGAAGAAGGAGCTGCGGTTAGCCTCAGGATCAGAAGTTCCAGTTTATCTGTGCATTTACTATAAACCAACACTAAACTGGGTTATTGTTGTGAGTGCCATCGAGTCGATTCTGACTTCTAGTGACCCATGTACAGCAGAGCGGAACCCTGCCCAGTCTTTTTGCACCATCCTCTCACCTTCCAGCGCTGTATCAGACAATGCTCCGCTGCTATTCACAGGGTTTTCATGGCCAATTTTTTTCGGAAGTGGGTGGCCAGGTCTTTCTTCCTAGTCTGTCTTAGTCTGGAAGCTCCACTGAAACCTGTCCCCATGGGTGACCCTGCTAGTATTTGAAATCCCAGTGGCAGAGCTTTCAGCATCACACAACATGCAGCAGCCACAATATGACAAGTGACAGAGGGGTAGAATGGTTAGATCCCTGATTGGGAAAAGAACCAGGACCGCCGTGGTGAGAGCACCAAATCTCAACCACTAGACCAAATTGGGTTGAGTAAAAATGAAAGAAACGCTACCACCAAAGTTTCCATCTTGTTGGTTTCTTCGCACATCCACGATGATGATGAATGGCATTCGTGTGTATGGATCATCCCCGACTGTGGCATTGAGTTATACACAATTCTCAGCACATGAGCTGTAATTTTACCTTTTTCTGCCACCAAGAAAGCACACTGGAAGTTGAGTGAATTCTATGATTACAGGGCTTTCCTTGAACCTGCTTTAATTTGCAAGTTTATTCATTCCTTCTCTCAACAAAGACTGTATATAGACAGTATACATCAAGATCTTTAGTAATTTATTTTGAGTAACAAATTATTCATCACATACGATGTAACTGATCAAGACACAACAGTGTATCTTGACAGCTTTGTTGAGAATCCCTGGCCAGGGACCAAGAGAAAGTGCCAGTGGGGCAGTGGGATCACTTTAAAAATTTTAACATTGAATGACCATGTTGTTTCAGAGCATCTACCCAACCATATGATTAATTAAACATACATAATACTAGACCTAACCTAATAGTAACAATGGACATAGCCCCAAGGTGCCTAAAATTTAGGCTCAGAACCTTGTAGGAGAGTGCAAAAACAAGTTTTGCCTATTAAACCAGTAGAGCTGTCTTATGGAACTGTCATTTAGTAAATTATTCAGTAAACATTTATGAAAATCTTATTATGTATCAGGAAATGTCTAGATTCTGGGGTACGAAGACAAGTCAGTCACTACAGTCTAGTAGGGGAGGGGAAGATAGACATGTATATCTATGCACAGAATTTTTCCATGCAAGATTTATGCAAGACTCATTTTCTTACTGGTACCCAAGCACTTCACAATTATGGAGCCATTTTTCTGGCCACAAAAAATAAATATATTCTTCAGCCCATTCCTCTTCCCTACTGTGGTCCTGCACCATCATCCCAATTAGAAAATTTTTGCCTTTGAGTTTTTATATTCATTACGATGGTTCATTAGACCTTTTTGGAAAAATACTGTTTATTCAGAGACTGTGAAGTGAGCATAAAGATACTGGAAACCATGAGAGACCGGATGGTGTCATTGAGAAGGAGAAGAATTGAAAAAAGAGACAGTTGATGATGATTCCAAAAATCATCTTTACCACTTGGGAGTTTTCCAGAAGTCCAAGATCATAGATTACAGCAATGTTACACATGTACACAAAAGACTGAGGATGAATGTTTGTGTTTCTTAAAGTCCAGTTGTTTTAATTTCCCCAGCAGTGTCAAAGAAAAATATCAGACGGGTCTGTTGGCTCACCTGATCGGTCATCACTGTCCTCGAAGTTTACATGGAAGGAATGTCCCACGTTGACAATCTCTTTAGCTGTGGCTGGATTGTAGGAGACACTGAAACTTTTTAGGGAGGGGTCATGTTTGGTTTCACTGGTTTTAATGTCGATAGGAGATTGTTTACTTCCATTTGCGATGGGGTACAGCTTGACCCATTGTTCAGGACCTACCAGGACAAACATATGCATACAATCAAAACTTGACCAAATGCTTGATTCCAAGTTTTAGGAGTATAACTAACTGCTCGCTTATTAGATTAGGATTTATTCAGGTATCTTAAGTGATATTCTGTTTAAGTTAATGAAAATTCAATGTTTGAGAATATCCCTTTTCTATACTATACTATAAAATAGTGTACTTGTCAGAATGAGTCATATACTCATAGTCTATGGGATCAGACTATAAATATTTTAGTATGAGCACTAGATTTCAAATATATATATATTTGGAGAGAGAGAGATTGAGAGGGAGAGAGAGGAAGGGATAGAGGATACGTTTTGCAGGCAACACACCCCAAGGGACAACTGCTAAGAACACATGCAGAGCCGTTATAATTGTTCAAGTCAGGCAACTCAAACCATTAACCTGTGACAGTACAGTGGCTTGCAATGCTCGAGACTTCTTTTATTGGAAAAGGAAATAAGCTATTATTTTGATTTACACGAACAGAAGAACTCTTACCATTAGGGCCATCGTATCCCCAGTCGGAACTTGCCATGATCTTCTACTTAGTTTCCTTTTTCTGAAAACAAAGATGAAACCTGGAATAACTGACTGCAAGGGAGCATGCAGTAGAGAGCAGACAGCACCGCTTGGGTATTTATAGGAAACTTCCCTGCCTTTAATAGGCCAAGATTTCATCATCTCTATCAGGAAGTATACATATACGTAAAAAAAAGGTGTTGTAAAAAAATCCCACAAGGGTTAAGTCAGTTCCAATTGTTTTATTTTCTTATATTGCAAAAGAGAAATATCAAAATCTTAGGTTTTATAAAACCTAGCCCTGTTTCTCTCATGTTAGTAGAAGATATGGCAGAATATTACCGTATATGATTCTTTGGATTTCCTGAATTAAAAATGACTCTGCGCACTTGAGATTTCCAACTTGACCCTTGCTGGATACTTTAGCAATATTAGCAACGGTAATGTAGTAAGGAGAATAATTTGCACGTTTTCAGACTGATTGGAACTAGTTTCATGATGCTAATTTAAAATCAGATAAAATTACTAATTTTTTAAAATATGTTATTCATAATGGTACATTTCATGGACACACAAGATGGAAATAAAGTCCTTCATTTTAGAGAAATATTAGAATTTATAAATGAGATTTTATTAATATTAAAGTTAAATATGGTCCAATATTTATTTTCCACATCAAATACAGGTCTACTGGAATGAAACCTTTCTTTTGTATAGTTCTATACAATTTATAAAGTACTTTCAGATTATTTTATATCATCACCACCACACATAAAAATCCTGTAAAGCAAGAATTATCATTTTGTAATTGAGAAATGTTGAGAGACTTCACAACTAGCAAGAAGCCAAGAAGCCAAGACTTCAGCCTCGAAGTCCAGTTGCTTTCTTCACTGTACCTCCACCGAGCCACACTGTGAGGTGAGTGACATCTTAATTCTCCTTTCAAGACCACAATTCTCTTAAGCCCAATTTAAGTCTGGACCACGTGAGAATTGCCACCTGTTGAGTGATGAGAAGATCCATAGGACTTTTCAAGGAGGCAAAGAAGACTGATTAGGATGTGTCAGACCCTGGCTATGTCCACATTTTCAAGGCTCTAAACGTGCTCGAAAGAAATGCAACCAGAAAAATAAGCTTCCATAGTAATGCTTTTTCATGTGGTCATACCTCCTTTCACATTCTAGAATCATCTGAGCTGCCTGGGCTCCCTGAAGGAAGAGAGGGTCAGGCACAATTTTTAGCAAAGCTGATTGGAGACACATTGTTTGTCCCTTTTGGGTTAATAATGGCCAACTGCCTCAGAAGCAGAGAGAACTATGGCTCATGAGCAGAGTGGGAAGAGGCCCAAGCTTCCACTCTATACTTTAGTAGGCTAAAGGAACATTACTTAAAAGGGAAGGTTTTTTTTAAGGTACTATTTATTGAGAGCCCAGTATGTCTCAAATGCTATGCTAAAAACTTTACATGCGTTAATTCATTTAATTCTCACAATGACCAAATTAGGCATTAAAATCTGTGTTCTACTTAAGAAGAAATTGAGGCTTTACAGAGGTGAAGACTCCTCCTCAGGGTTACAAAGCTTATAAGTGGCTGCTTACATCCCATAGCCTAGGGTTTAAACCTAGATCTGTCTAACTCCAAGGCTTGTACTCTTTCTTAATCTTCCACTGTCAACAAATGCCCATCAACCTCCACTCGATTCTATTTTCTGGAGGATTGGATTAGTTGGTCTGGTCTGATCGATAGTCAGACTCGGTCCTTGGGCTTACTTCATTCCAGACTTAGTCTCACGTCGGCCAGAAGCTCACGGAGTGACAGTAGCAGGCTACTCTTTGCCAGATAATCTGCCTCCTAATATTTGACACTTTGTTAAAAGTAACTTTAAATCGAACTACTATATTAATCAACATATTTGGGGAAAAAAAACACAACCCCCTTTTCATTACATGATTACATGATGATTCATCACATGAATGTTTTGACATTCATATGGGACGGTAATTCATTTAGTTTTTGGTACAAAATTACTTTGAACCCTAACTGTTATGACCCTTCATTCCATTATGTACCCAGGGTGGGTTTGTGTATTCCCACGAGCAGAAAACCATAGAGAGAAAGGGTATAAAATTTAATGAACACCTAGAGTTTAAATCCTAACACCCCTCCCATTGACTTTTATCCCTCTTTTTCTGCTTACAAAGGTTGCCTCTTTCAGCTTAATATACTAAATCCAAGATGTCTCATTTTTCACTCACTCCTCTTTCACCTATTGTCTCCTCCCAGTATACTTTTCTAGGACTGTCATCTTGGGACTGCTTTCGCTCACCAAGGAGTTCAATCTACACAGCTTCTGCTCTTCTAAACTAACAGTTTATTCCCTAAGGCCATCAAATATGTAAGCACGTGCTGAAGAAGGATTTTTGTTTTTCCTGATAGAATATTCCAAATAAACCCTTACATACTTGAAACTGAATCAGGAGCAACTAGGTTGATGGAAAAATCTATATTTTAAAAAAGTAATGCAAAAATACATGAATAATTTTGATAGAGAATTGTTAATTGGTAACATTTAGAAGCACCAAGTTATATGTCAATTACATCTCAATAAAACTGGGGGAAAATAAAACAAAAAAATTTTAGCACTTTAAAGAGAGATTTTTTAAATGTTGAAAAAATGGTGTGCAGAAGATATAATTTTAATAATTACATTGTTTTAATTTGCAAATTTAATGAAAATGTACTAAGGAGCTGAGAGGGGAAAAGAGAAAGATTTCTTCCTTTACCTTATGAAATGGAATCTCAGAGGCCAAATATCCCTGAAAAAATTTTAAAGATAAAATGTTGATATTATCCTAAGGGGATCTACTCTTAAACCATATGCCACAATTTTCTCTCTTGACCTTCCTTCACAGTAAATAGAATTCTTGCAAGAAACAAAAGGAAGTATGAAGAGTCCTCGAAGATTTACTATTATTAGTAAGGAGAACTATTTCCAAGTGCATTCATGCTAGGGGTGTTGGGGTAGGCTAGAAAAGATGATTATTTGAGTAATTTCCATCTGTTGGGTCCTTTAAAATAATGACCTAATTCAATTTTCACAGTGGTCCTAGGGGTTAGGTTAGTCTCACCCCACTTTTAAGGAAGAATAACTGAGGCTCAGAGAATTCAAGAAGAACCAGGGTTTGAATCCATTTCTGGTTGCCTCCAAAGCCCATGAGTGCATTCTTTTCTGTATTATGTCACAGTGCCATCCCTAACAGATTGTCTATAAAACATTTGCTTTCAAGTTAGTTAATAGCGTATTATATTTATTTACTGAGTAACATCAATAAACTTTGTTGAAGATGTTTTTAATGCCTTCAAATGTTTTTCAAGAAAGCAGCGACATTTCCTCAGTGTTTTACAAAATTTAAAAACCGCATTTAGCCAATTTTAAACTATATTTAAAAGCCTTAGCATTTCTTATTTGAACTTTTTCCTTCTAGTTTCTCAAATGAACATTTTCCTCTGATTCTTAATTTAATATTTTAAATTTAAAAACATGAACTTTTATGGAGGCAAATAAATCATAGTGAGTTTCAAATTTAAATTTGTAATTAAATAATAGTTCTTTGGTAGGAAGGAACTAAAAGTGTGCAAGAGTGCTGTGTCCAGTTATTGTAGAGATCTGCTAAATGCCACTGAAAAGAAATTCCAGATAGCAATAGCTATTTTACAATGCTCAGACTTCCACAAAGATAACTGGTTTTCCTGGGATCTCTATTTTCCCTAAGATAAGAGAATACCCATAGTAAAAATCAAGTGTCATTTTTAACTATTAAATTTGGCAAGACTCACATTGCTCCCTAACTCCTCTGCCTCTCCAGAAGTGCTATTGTTTAGGGTGGCAAGATAAACCTTATTTCTAGTGGAGAAGTGAGTCCTGGGAAATGGTGATATTGGCTTGGATATTTCTGCAGCAAAACAACTGGAAATTCTGATGAATCAATTTAAATGGCAGGATGGTTTATCTGGATTTCACACCTATCATTTCCTGCAAATCAGTTTTCTCTTCACTTGTAATGAGATGTCTTACCAACTTCATTCTTTCCAGATGTCTCCATCTATACCAAGCTTGTTCCCATTTTAGGACATTTGCACTTGCTGTGCCCTCTGTCTGGATCTTTGCACAGGCTCAAATATCACCTCCTCAGAGATGGCTTTCCTGGTCTCTAAATCTAACCTACCCTCCCTCTTCCCAGTCATTCTATTTTATTGTTCTGTCTTGTTTCTTTCATAGTATTTGTTGCATACTGAAGTAATTTTGTTTGCATTCTGAAATTAATCTGTTTCCTTGCTTAATGTCTGTAACCATCTCTATGGTGACACCTCCACCATTTTATTTTTTTTAAACCACTGTGTTCACTTCACTTATAACATGCCTGGAAAACAGTGGTGCTCAATAAATACCTTAAAGAGAACAATTAAATGGTTATTTTTAGTTTCAACTACTGTGTTTTTATGAAGACTTGGAAGGGCAGAATGCTCAACAGGGACTGCGCCTCCCCAAATACACTGAGTGAGCTCAGGGGGGTGTGACACGCTGGTGTTGGGTTGTGTGAATGAGCTTTGCTGGAGACAAACTCACGTTCGTATTTCGAAACAAGAAAAAAGAGCCTTTCCCCTCTCCATTCTATTAATGGGAGGAATGAAGAGACCCGTCTGCGTCTGTCAGTCATTGCTGGGAGAGTGAGAACGTTGGTCTTTGTAAGTGTCAAATTTTTTGACACTTCACAAGTGTCAAAACTTAACCCATGAAATGTGGTTTGAACTGTTGACACACAAAGTTCAAAAATCCATAACTCTTATGGCTTTCATTACTGTAATTAAGGAAGGGCTTTCTACCTTATAGTTTCTGTCTTGGAACATTTTATTTTTATTTATCTAGGCAATTTTAAAATCTACCAATGAATATTTTTTATTAACAACCAAGTCAACTCTTCATAGGTAAGTATTTTAATCCACAGCATAGAGGCATTCACAATTTCTTATAATTTCATGCTTTTGAAAACATTAAATTTTAAATACATCTAGTTGACTCTCATGCTTATTGAA